AAGGAAGAAAGAACTGCTCATGTGGTTTATACCTGTAATTCCAACATTTAGAAGCTGCGACTGGAGGATCTGTAGCTCAAGGCCAGTCTGGGCGCCACAAAATAAACAAATGAAGTTGGGGAGATGGCTCAGTGGGTAAAGGCCTGGCCACTTGAATTAAATACCTAGGGCCCACATAGCAGGAGGGAAAAACCAGTTCTTGAAAGGCTGACTTCTGACTCCACACATGAACTGTGGTGTACTTGCCTCCTCAGTACATACACAAATAAGTGAATATAATTTAAAAAACAAAACAAAGACAGAAAAATGGGAGGGGTGGAGGAAGGAAGAAAGCCACCTGCTCCCCATGCCTCTGCCCTAGTCCCGGCGATTAGAAAGTACCTCATTGGAGAGATGGCTCAACAGGTGAAGTCACTTATTATAACCCTTGATAGCCTGAGTTTGATCTCCTGATCCCATATGGTGTAAGGAGAGGACTGATTCTTGCAAGTTGTCCTCTGACCACAGCATGGCCTCAGGACAGACGGGGACACACACAGACACACACACACACACACACACACACACACACACACACACGTAAACACTCTATGAGTTCAGTGAGTTCAAGGCCAGCCTGCTCTACAAAGTGAGTTCCAGGACAACCAAGGTTACACAGAGGAACCCTGTCTTGAAAATATAAACAACAAGCTGGGCGGTGGTGGCACACTCCTTTAATACCAGCACTTGGGAGGCAGAGGCAGGAGGATCTTTGTCAGTTTGAGGCCAACCTGGTTTACAGAGCTAGTTCCAGTACAGTCAGGGCTACACATAGTAACCCTGTATCCAGAAACCAACAACACCCTGAAATCAAAAAACCGAAAAGTCAAAACACCCCCCCCCAATCAACAACCAAGCCAAACCAAACAACAACAAACCAAATCAAACCAATCAATCAATCAATAAATAAAAAAATAAGAAACAAATAAAAAACCAATAGCAAAATGCCTATAAAAGTTCCAAAAAAACAAGGAGCTAAATGCTACTCTCCCTGTTCCTTGGCAACCTCACTAGATACCTTGTACCTGGTTGCATCATCGCCATAAGTGGTCTCCTCCCTCCAGAGCCAGGGCCACGTCTGTCATGTTCACCACTTTAATCCCAACGCCCAGAACTGAGTCACTGGCATCGCTGGGCCTCCGAAAGGATTTGCCAAGCAGCATTCTGAAGAAAGCTGGTGGAGCACCCAGAGTGGGTGTGGCCGCGGAGGCCTGTGGAGCACCTAGCATAGGTGTGCCTGGCGGAGGCCTTTGAAAACGGTCTCAGTGGGTGCGGTCAGTCACTGGCTGGCTTCCCTGACCTCGGCAGACACAGTTTCTCATCAGCTACTGTTAAACTGTTATGGATACTTCTTAGGGTGTGTGTCCCTGGGAGTTGCCCTGGTGAAACACCACCCATTTTTTTCTCCTTCTACTTCTAAAGATTTATTCTATGCATAGAAATGTTTTCCCGCATATTTGCCTGTGTATCACACATGTGTGGAGAACCTGAGGAGGTCAGAAGAGGGCGTTGGACCCGCTGGAACTGAAGTTGTGGATGGCTGGGAACCGCCATGTGGGTGCTAAGAAGGGAACTCAAGTGTACTACTGGACCAGTCTTCCCTCTGTTTAGCCTAGAAGCCCTCTCTCTAAAGATTCTATCTATCTATCTATCTATCTATCTATCTATCTATCTATCTATCTA